TTGTGAAATATTATTGCAATTTAAAATAATGTTTTTCTATTTTAATATACTTTAAAATATAGTTTATTCCTGTGATGCAAAGCTGAATTTTCATCAGCATCACTGCAGTCTTCAGTGTCACATGATCCTTCAGAAATCATTCTTAAATGCTGATTTATTACAGTTTTGCGGCATAATATTTTTTGGAACCTGTGATACTTTTTTCAGGATTCTTTGATTAACAAGAACAGCATTTATTCAAAATAGAAATATTTTGTAATAATATACACTACCATTCAAAAGTAAAGATGTGTTAAATTGATAATAAAGACTTATATTGTTAGAAAAGTTTTTTTTAAACTTTATTCATCAAAGAATCCTGACAAGTATCACAGGTTACAAAAATATATATATTTGTGACCCTGGAGCACAAAAGCAGTCTTAAGTCGTATATTTGTAGCAATAGCCAACAATACATTGTATGGGTCAAAATTATTGATTTTTCTTTTATGCCAAAAATCATTAGGATATTAAGTAAAGATCATGTTCCATGAAGATATTTAGTAAATCTCCTACCGTAAATATATCAAAACTTAATGTTTGATTAGTAATATGCATTGCTAAGAACTTCATTTGGACAACTTTAAAGATGATTTTCTCAATATTTAGATTTTTTTGCACCCTCAGATTCCAGATTTTCAAATAGTTGTATCTCGGCCAAATATTGTTCTATCCTAACAAAACAAAAAAAGCTTATTTATTCAGCTTTCAGATGATGTATAAATCTCAATTCCAAAAAAATTGACCCTTATGACTGGCTTTGTGGTCCAGGGTCTCACATATGTTAAGCAGCACAACTGTTTCCAACATTGATAATAAATCAGCATATTAGAATGATTTCTGAAGGATCATGTGACGCTGAAGACTGAGTAATGATGCTGAAAATTCAGCTTTGCATCACAGGAATAAATTACATTTGAAAGTACATTAAAATAGAAACCCATTATTTTAAAATGGTAATAATATTTTACAATATTATTGTTTTTTCTGTATTTTTGGTCAAATAAATCCAGCCTTGGTGAGCAGAAGAGACTTCTTTAAAACACATTAAAAATCTTATTCATCCTAAACTTTTGAACAGCAGTATGGTTAAAGCAGATCTAGTGTGTTACCTGGCAGTGCGCAAGCACATCTTCTCTCTGGGAAACTCCTTGGGTCCCTCAGAGCCGTCACACACTTGACTCTCCGTCTCCAGATACACATCCAGACACACACACAAGCGCTGGATCTGATTGGTCAGGAGCTGGAGACCCGGGCGTGGCCCCTGCAGCTCGGAGCGGAACACGTTCACCTCGCTCTCCATCGCCTGCGCATGACAACCACATCATTTAGAGAATAATTTCACACTGAATACACCTGAGCAGCTGTGCACACACTGCAGCTGTAAGGCTCTTACCCGCAGGTTATCATCAGTGCGCCCGCTGCGCTCTCCTTTCCAGTGCAGAGAGAAAGAGAAGAGCGGCGCGACCTCAGGGTAACGCGGGTTCATCACCACAGCGGCCAGCAGACGAGCTGAGAGAACCAAAGACAGAGTTATGTCATCAAACATTTCCATGACTGTGGAATTTATGATGCTCACGTCACTGAATCTCTGAAACGGTGTTACTTTAGCAATGTTTATACAATATTATTGTATTTATTAATATACTGAATATGTTTTTTTGTTTTATTTAGCCTTGATTAAAAAAATACATTTTTTAACATGAAATTTTATTTCGTTTAGAATTTCATTGACAATGCAACGGTGTTATTTTAATATAATTAATATGCTATTATAGCTGTTAATATTTTTAATTTGATTTTTTTATATATATTTTTTGCTTTTAGTAATTTTATGTGCTTTTGTCCTATTTATTAGGTTTTTTAGTTCTATTTAGCTTTAATTTTTATTTCAGTAATTTTAGTAGTTTAACTTATTTTATTTCATTTAGTTGCCAATGCAACAGTATTATTTTAGTATTATTGATATACTATTGATATACTAACTTTTGAATTCTGAATTCTGAGAATTCTGTTTTCATTTTAACCTTAATTAAATGTTTAGTAATTCTGTAGTGTTTTGCCATTTTTATTATTTATTTTTAAATAGGTCTATATAATTTTTAAGTTTTTGTTTTCAGTTTATTTAGTTTTACTAGCTGAAATAAAATAACTTTATATTTTAAAGCAATTACATTTTTTAAGGTTTTAATCTGTCAAACTTTCAATGCAACATTTTTAAATGTTTAAGTTTTTTTTACATTTTTCATCAAATATTAATACTATATTTCAATTAACAAAACCTTTTAAATAGTTTTAATAGATTTTTTATAGTTTTAGTTAATAAAAACACTGCTCGGAAAGATGTCCAAGACTTTGATTTGAGATACCTAGTAGCAAGTAAACGAGATATTACTGATTTCAGATTTACGTGCCACTCTAAACATCACATAAAAACAGTGGATGACCACTGAACATGTCAGTCAGATGGTCTCTTCCTGTCCAAGCGGGCGATTTTAGGCCAGAAGAAGCTGCAAACCAGACATGTCGACAGTGAAGAGTCTGACACAAGAGCACAGTTCCCACCTGTTCCTCTCTCTACAACCGCCATGAAGAACAGATCGGTCTCATGCACCAGGCCGGCCTTCAACACATGCTGCACGAAGCCCAGCTCCTGTTGAACAACAACCAAAGTACACCGAGATACTGCTTTTCACTCAAGAAACCAATTGAATGGAAAGCAAATATGCACTACATGATGTCAATGTGAGATGCTAAACATCCCTATTCGAAAGAGAAGACTGGAAGAAACATACAGTGAATTCCTGGTGGCTCATCATGGTCCAGCGCATGAGACCGGAAACCACTTTAGCAGGAAACAGATGTTGGCACTCGCTGGAGACAGGTATGATGCTGTGCTCTGGAACAGAACAAACCCATTGCATTGTTAACGCAACAAACTAAACAGACAGCAACAACCAAAAGCATCATGGTTCAATTAATATATTTATTAAAGCTGCATTCATTTGATGAAAAACACAGTAATAATAATAAAAATAACTATTCTATCTGAATACATTTTAAAATGTAATTTATTCCCGTGATCAAAGCTGAATGTTCAGCATCATTACTCCAGTCTTCAGTGTCACATGATCTTCAGAAATCATTCTGATATGCTGATCTGATGCTCAGAAACATTTCTTGTTATCTGAAAACAGTTGTGCTGCTTCATATTTTTGTGAAGTGTATGTATATAATAATGCATATTTATTGACTAAACACACATTTTCTGAGTTTATCTTGTTTCTTAAGCCTCGTTCAGACTGTCAGCCCAAATCGTGCATCTGAACGGCAACGATTTTTGCAAATCCGTTTCAAGCTACATTCATATGTGGTTTGAAATCCTATTCAAATTTAATTTCTGGAAATGCGTTTCAGTCTGACCGCTCAGATCGGATTTTGCGTAGCTTTTTTACGTTCTCACGTCACGTAAACAGTAAACACGTTAGATGCTGTTTGTAGAAAACATACTGAAGTAATATTATAATCCATCGTGACGGCAGCATGTTGTAAGACAACATCTGTATTGCTCTTATTGTTGTTTTTAGCACAGACATACCAACACATCGTCATTGCCATAGAAACGATGCAGATATCGAGTCAAACGAACTGAGCAGTTGCGATACACAGTGTGGACAGTCAATATGAACAAAAATCGGATTTGGACTGACAGTCTGACTCTGAACAAGGCTTTAATATGTGACCCTGCAGCACAAAAGCAGTGTTAAGTCGCTGGGGTATATTTCTAGCAATAGCCAAAAATACATTGTATGAGTCAAAATTATAGATTTTCCTTTTATGCCAAAAATTATTAGGATATTAAGTAAAGATCATGTTCCATGAAGATATTTTGTACATTTCCTACCGTAAATATATCATGTATTATCATTATGATATGCATTGCTAAGGACTTCATTTGGACATCTTTAAAAGAGATTTTCTCAATGTTTAGATTTTTTTGCACGCTCAGATTCCAGATTTTCAAATAGTTGTATCTCGACCAAATATTGCCCTATCCTAAACAAACCATACATCAATGGAAAGCTTATTTATTCAGTTTCACTCAATTTCATTGACCTTATGACTGGTTTTGTGGTCCAGAGTCACATATGGTCTGTTGACCTCAGCCAGTAAACAACCACCTGGCAACCACCCAGAATACCTTAGCAACCACATAAACAAACCTCAGTAACTGTGAAGCAATGCAAGACAAATACTAGAGTGAAAGTCTGGTTGTCTCATACCCAGTGAGCTGAACTGTTTGTGTAGGGCCAGTCGAGCCTGCAGTCTTCCTCGCAGCAGTTTCATGGTCCTCTCCATGTGACTGGCGCTCAGAGCGCTGCCTGTCAGCGCCGACTGAAACGAACACGCTTCATGACATTACAACACTGCCCACTTTACACTGACGTCAATAATAAAAAAGTATGGATAGAAGTTTTACTCCTGATCACACTGAAATAGTGACGTTCTTTCTCAGTATTTTTGTCTTGTTTCCAGTGCAAATGTCTAAAGACTCATGCATAATAATGAGCAAAATGATGTCTTGTTTTTTTGAGAATTTGATCAAAGTTATGTTTATGATTAAGAACAAATATCTGCAAATGAGCTCAGAAAAAAAATCTACTTAATTTAAAGGGAAAACACGCTTTCATAACCCACTGACAGATATTTGTTCTTGATTTCAACAAACTCACTTAATTTTGTTCAGTTGCTTGGAAAACAAGACTTCATATCTTTATTTTGCATCTCATGTAACTGCATCTTGATTTAATGATATTTAGATATTTGTATTGCGAAAAAACTAAAATACTGAGGAAGTACATACAACACTTAAAGCCATGACTTTATGGAGACTTTCTGCTCCGATTTAAGAGCGTTTTAAGTCCGTAATCTGTGGATGTGCGAATTATGACTTTCTAAGACCTTTTGAAGACCAGCAGAAACGTGATTTTTGGAAACGTTGATATGATCGGAGATATATTGTGCATTCAAGACTCATATTTACAAGCACAGCATAAAAATAGTTTAACAAAAACACCAATGCAAAACGTTATAAAAAAAGAAAATAATAATAAAATCATTGCATAATGTAATACACACATCAGACGAGAACTGCAGGCCACCCAGTTTCTGCATCCAAACATACGGATGTCCGAGATCTGACACATAATCCGCAAACGTAGTGATTCTGCACAGAAAATGACATTTTATTACATTTATTATTTAATGCAATTTCAAAAGCAAAGGCTTTTTCATTAGAAACTAAAATCATAAAGAAAATAAAGAAAAAATATTACATTATAATTGATTAATTATAAATGATGTATTATTTATTAATTATACATAATAATTTAATATTCACACAGCAAATATAGTACAAAAATCATAAAGTAGCAATTGAAGCTCTTTCAGTTTTATATTTGGTACAAAGTCTACAATTTTCCAAGTAAAAACATTTTTAAAAAATGCCCATTAATGAAATTTCTGCATAAAACCATCATTTAGTTAATTATGTCAGTGTTACTACTAAAGTGGAGACGTCAACCTTACCCGACTTTATCAAACTGGTAGCGGTTGGCAGGGTTGGGCGTCTCTTTGCCGTGATCAGACGCATAAAGACAGTTCAGCAGACTCTCGGAGTTCAGCAGCTCTCTGTGACAGAAGCATAAATGGTGCTAGAAAACAAACAACCACACTAACTGTGCAAGCTTTTGATTTAGGTTTGGTTTTGATGCAGCTGCACTGACCCAGCGCTGACGGCTCCGGACAGATCTGTAGTGGTGGAAACTTTGGTCTTCACAGTCAGAATGTTGAGATTCATGAGATAATAGAAAAACAGATGCAGGACGCTGCCGTCTGGAGAAAGATAATACAAGTACTGATGAAAAAGGCTAACTACATAATTATATCAAATTACTAATTACAATAAATCTTAAGAAAAAAGCTAATTACATTTGACCTATTTAAGAGGGCTATACATTTAATTGCATATATGTGACCCTAGACCACAAAAGCTGAATAAATAAGCTTTCCATTGATGTATGGTTTGTTAGGATCGGACAATATTTGGCTGAGATACAACTATTTGAAAATCTGGAATCTGAGGGTGCAAAAAAATCTAAATATTGAGAAAATCATCTTTAAAGTTGTCCAAATGAAGTTCTTAGCAATGCATATTACTAATCAAACATTAAGTTTTGATATATTTACAGTAGGAAATTTACTAAATATCTTCATGGAACATGATCTTTACTTAATATCCTAATGATTTTTGGCATAAAAGAAAAATCTATAATTGTGACTCATACAATGTATTGTTGGCTATTGCTACAAATATACCCCAGCGACTTAACACTGCTTTTGTGCTGCAGGGTCACAAATAACCATTATCATTTTTTAAATATTACAAACAAATCTTTTTATATCTGACACACAAAATATGACTTCCAATATAACAAATTATTCATTTATATTGTATTTATTCAAATTATTTACTTTGTTATATTCACATAAAGCATTCATAAAAAAATAAATAAAATCCTAATAACCTAATTTACACTACTGTTCAAAAGTTTGGGGTCAGTACATTTTTTACATTAATAATCTTATTCAGCAAGGATGCACTAAATTGATCAGAAGTGACAGTAAAGAAATGCCATTCTTTTCAATTTTCTGTTCATTTATGAATCATGAAAAACTGGATCAGAATTTCCACAAAAATATGAAGCAGCACAACTCTTTTCAACATTGATAATAATAATAAATGTTTCTTGAGCAGCAAATGATATTAGAATGATTTCAGAAGGATCATGTGACACTGAAGACTGACATGATGCTGAAAATGTAGCTTTCTAACACAGGAATAAATTATATTTTAAAATATATTCAAATATAAAAGTTATTTTAGATTGTAATAATATTTCACAATTTAATGTTTTTATTCTATTTTTGATGTGATTTTGTACAGCCTTTGTGAGCAACTATATCTATTTATGGTTTCACACACCTTTGCACTTGAGGTCCACGCAGAGCGAGAGAGGGTGGCGTCTCAGCATCTCTTTACGCTTGTCATCCAGTTGAACACCTACAGTCGGCCGCCGGCGCTTCTGAACAGAGAGAGACGGAAAATGAGTGCATTAGCTCACAAACTATTTAATGAGATGAGATAATGAACTGGAGAAGAAGATTAAAATGGAGTCTGACTGTGTTCTGTTGCTCCTCTTCAGCATCTGAATCACTTTCATCATCTGAGACCAAAACACACAAAACATAAGACCCCACTGATCACTAGGGCTGTCAACAATTTTTTAATTTCAAATATTCGTCAAATTTAAAATAAAAATCCACAATTTTAGGTGTGCGTTAAGGAGGCAGCATTATCAGTGGCGCACGAGATGTGATGACGATGTAAGTGTGATTGCATTTTAATGTTTTTGTTAGTCTATCCAGTTGTAGCCACTAGATGCGGCGCTGCTGTGTTGTTAATTACAAATATTGCGGGAAAAGAGAACATCAAGCCATTTACACAGAATGCATATTTAGAGCATTTTCTAGAGGGACATCTATCACCGTTGCACTCGCGTCTCGCACAAAAGAGCCACATGTTTAGAAAGCTATATAAAATTAATGCAAGTTCAACTTTGAAAAAACATATCTCGAGACTTTATTTCCCCATTCCACTGCAACTCGTGTTTTTAAATGAAAAATGTACTCTTGTGTGATTGGCTTTCGGCCCTTTGTATTAAACTATGCATACATACATGATGCTGTTTTGTTTATAGTTGTTTAAGCAACTTCATTAATTATAACTGGTTTATAAACATTATTTTAAACATTATGCACTTTTTTCACAGATAGTCATGTTATCTTATGCTTTGAATAAACGTGCATTAGTAATATTTTGCTCGATGCGCCCTCTTGTGGCCTCAGAAGAGAAGCCAAAAGCTTTTCTTCACCCTAACTGAAATTATGCATTTTAAATTAGAATATAATTCGAATTTTGGTAATATTTAAGTACAAAATTTGAATTGAGTTTTTCAGCCATTTTGACAGCCCTACTGATCACACTCTCGTCCGACTCAAAGCAAACACACAGCGGTACCTTGCGAGTCCTCCGGGGGCCTGGAGAGAGCTTTGGCCTCATCCACATCTCCACTGATGCTCACAGACAGGTTTTTGTCTGAAACGCATAATTGCATGATCTCATAAACCAGGATTCATCAGGAATGCAGGCGCCGCTGAGAATCAAGATGCGAGTCTTACCGCAAGCCTGTCCGTACGCACCCGCCTGGACCAACAGCACGTACAGAGGGGGCGGCAGGTGGCGGGAGACCTCGGCCTGCTTCTGCATGTGCTCAAATGGTATCGCCAGATACTCCTGCACTGGGAGAGACGCCTGCACAAGAGAGAGATCCGTCAGTCAGTCTCTTCCTGTCTAAAGCCTAGTTCACACTCCACGACTTTACACGTAAGCAGATCGCTGTGCTGTTCAGACTACAGGACTTGCTGTCTGTCTTGAAGTCATTGTGGTGTTTGCACTACATGAAACAAGTGAAACAGGAGCGGTTTATTTGAAAATGCAAATCTGTTGGGAATGATCTGTTCTGAAAAATGTATTGAGTCCACACTTTTCTTAAAGCCGTGTTGCTGCTGCTGTTCTCAGTAGCTCCTCACTGCAGAACACAAGATCCAGGGGGCGTGGTTGGATCCACATCTAGGGGGTCGAGACTGGTAGGTTTAGGGGTGGAGATGGGTGGGTTTAGGTATATGTAAGGCGGTAGGAGTTGGATCTGGTTCCAACCACGCCCCCTGGATCTTGTGTTCTGCAGTGAGGACCATCTCGTTTTTCTTCCTCTGTCCTCAACCCATGCCTTGCTCTCTCATTGGCTGTAGCTCGTCATGACACCTGACACCACGGGATGTTGAGTCGGCCGACCGGTCCAGATATTTAGCATGCTAGATATTTGTTTGGTGTCGGTGAGCTTCTTTGATGCATTGTTGAGTAGTTCACACATAAAGATTGGTGAGCTCTGATCACCCGCTGATTTTCCACCGATCGCAGCCTGACTTGTCGGCGAGCTCGTTAACTTGCAAATCGGGCTTAAAATCCTGTAGTGTGAACTTGGCATAACTGCGCAGCACTACAGGTCAAAAGATTGTAATAATAAAGTTTTTTTTTTTTTTAAAGAAGTCTTTTCTGCTCACTAAGGCTGCATAAATTTTTTTTTTTTCAAAAATACAGTGAAAACAGTAATAATGAAATACTACAAATAAAAAATATTTAAAAATATATATATATTAAATGTAATTTATTCCAGTGATGTAAAGCTGAATTTTCAGTATCATTACTCCAGTCTTCAATGTCAGATGATTAATATAATATTCTGATTTGCTGCTCAAGAAACACTTCATACTGTTATCAATATTGAAAACAGTTTTTGCTGATTAATATTTTTGTGACACATTTTTTCAGGATTCATCAATAAATAGAAAGTTCAACAGAGCAGAATTTATTAAAAATCTTTTATTACATTATAAATGTCTTTACAGTCACTTTTGATTAATAAAATGCATCCCTGCGGAATAAAAATATTATAATAATTTTTTTTCTCTTTAAATCTTACTTACTCCAAACTTTTGAACGGTTGTGTATCACCGTTTACACAAAAAGATTAAGCGGCACAACTATTTTCAACATTAATAAGAAATGTTTCTTGAGCAGCAAATCCGCATATTCAAATGATTTCTGAAGATCATGTGACACTGAAGACTGGAGGAATGATGCTGAAAATACAGCTTTGATCACAAGAATAAATTACATTTTAAATTATATTCAAATAGAAAACATTTATTTTAAACTGCAATAATATAAAAAAAATGACTGTTTTTACTTTTTATTCAAATAAATGTAGGATTGATGAGCACTTCTGACCAATAGTGTATTTGTGCCAATCTAGTGTTTCACCTGCATGATGTTTTGCAGTCCAGGTTGAAGGCTGCTCAGATATTCTCTCTTCTGCTCAATGGCTTTCTGTATCTTCTCCTTTCTGGCCAGAGACATCTTATACTGCTCCGCCAACCTGCAGCATGGAACAACATCATCTTAACATCTCCTGGTCAGGATTTAGAGGCTAATAGAGAGTTGTTGGTGTGTCTTACCTCTTCCTCTGCTCTAGTTCCCAGTCCAGGCGGGCGAGCGTGAGCTGGTGTTGGTCATCGCGGGTGACATGAGGGCGTGAGATCTCAGCCGGAGCCTCCTGAAAAAACTCCTCTTCACTGACCAACTCAATCTCCTCATGCTGAGACCTGAAACAAAGAACAATAATAAATCAATAGTATTCTAGCAGATTACATATTTTTATAGCTGAGCCTGATTAGAAAAATGTTTATTCACTCTAGAAATGTCCATTTCCATGACATTTCAAGGCTTGGAAATGCATTGTAAAACTCACCTGAACTCGAGACAATGTGTGTGTTCACCTCATGTGTCTGGTCTCGGCCTTTCTTCAGTCGCATGTGCGCCAGGCGGTTGAGTTTCTTCAGGGTAATGAAATGAACGCTGCACTGTGTGCGTCTCTCCTCGATCTCCACGCTCTAGGACGCAAAAAACAAATGTCAGCTTCATTCATTCACCTCCATTTTCTGTCACATAGCAAATGTGAAACTCACTCCGACTTTCGCACCGCCGGCTTTCAGCTCCTGGATTTCCGCCATCAGTTTGGCCAGAGCGGCACACGTGTCCTTATACAGCATGTAGTCCTGCTGCGGGTCCCTGGCCTCCAACTCCACCTCCTCATTATACACACGGACGTCCTGAGGAACACACACACAGTGAGTGACCAGATGACACACACACAACCCTGCCTAACAGTTGTGCGCCAATCACATACTTTCTAATGGGATGAGATTACAAAACTGTGAGATGTGAACCTCCTCGCCCGAAAGTGCAACAGAAAAGGTGTCGACAGTAGAGCAGGATATCCAAAATTGCATTTATTTATGATTTAATAGGATCCAAAACGACCTGCTAATGGTGGGCGAGTTTAATTAACCTTAAATTACACAGCTCTCTGGAATACTTGATGAATACTTGATTCTGATTTGTCAATCACAGCACATATTTTTTTATAACAATAATGCTTATTATTATATAACTACTATTATACATTTAAAAACACTTATAATAATAATCATTATTGCTATTACTACAACTAATAATAGTATTATTTTTATTATAATTTTTTTTTGTTTTAATGATGCTAAACTATGGAAGCCCGTTTTTTTTTAATCTCACAATTCTGACTTTTTTTTTTTCATAGAGTTCCGTGATATAAACTCACAACTGTGAGATATAAAATTAATCAGAATTGCGAGATATAAAATCAGAATTGCGAGAATTGCTTTTTTTCTCGCAATTGCGAGTTATAAGTTCAGAATTGCTTGATATAAACTTCGCAATTGTTTTTTAACATAACGAGTTAAAGTCCAATTTTGAGGGGGGGACTGATATGTTCTCAGAATTGCGAGTTTATATCTCACAATTATGACTTTTTAACTCACAAATGTGAGTTTATATCACGCAATTGTGAGATAAAAAGTCATTTTAAGTGGCAGAAACAGGCTTCCATACTAAACAGCATATTGACTTTAGGCAACTATTTCTCATTTTTTATATTAATTTATATTTTATTTATATAAAATTATATTACAAGTTAAAATGATTTACAATAATAATGTCAGAAATAATAATAATAATTATTATTTAACTTTCAAACTGAATATAATTCTTACATTCAACATTATCCCTTGCAAGTCGTGAAATAAAATGTCCAAATTACAATTTTTATATTGTTTGATTGATAAGTGTTCATTTTGGATCCTTCAGCTGTCAGAGAGAGAGAGAGAGACAGACAGAAAGATCTCACGGGAACCTGAGTCTTTGCTGTAAACAGCTTCCTCTGTCCGATAAGATGAGGTCCGGCTGGATACGTGACCTATGTACACATGCCACATGAGTCTCACATCAACATATCTGCTCACTGAAACTCATCTGAACACAACTCAAGAAATAAAGACATCTGGGGGCGTATTACAGAACGATCCTAACTTTAAAATCTTATCTATTTGGTAGCCATGGTAATTTCAGCTAGGACCACATTCAGGACAAAAGCTAATACAGAACAGCGTTTCCTAAGTGTGTTATCTTATCTTAAATACAGATAGCAAGGGGGTATTACAGAAACCTCCTAACTTGACAAAGAATCCTAACAACCGTCTTAACTTTAGGACAACCCCACAGCTGTCCTAACTTCAAAATGATTTGATAGCTAACGGAAAAAACGCGTACAATTGCACTGTCAAACAATGGTATTACATTTATTAATAATTGAAAATGTAGAACGGAGATGTTTAATGGTAGAAAGTCTCTTTTTTTGATTAGGGATGCTCATTTTGGTTATTTTTCCTAACCGACGTTTGTTAACCGATTATTAACCGTTAACCGACAAGATTATTTTAAATGTGAATTTAATTAAATTAGAAAGGATACGTGTCTGTGACCTGTTAAAAAAATACTAACATTTGTTTCCCGGGGATTCATTTTACATGCGCAAAAAGCAGCATACAACAGAACATGAGGATTCACATGCATCCCATCACGCACCTGCAGCGCTTCTGCAAGCGGAGAAAAACATAATAAAGCTGAGCTATAGGCCTATATATATAACGATAAATAGGCCTATACGAGAAACATTTTTACTTAAATAATAAATTAAGAAAACGAAAGAAAAACAAGTAGCCTAGTATTCAGAGTTTCGGTTAATTTTTATGCTGCGTGAAAGGAAACCAAGACGGCAGAAAGCGGCATCCTATTCTTCTTTAGGCTTATTTTACAAAAGCACAAAGATTTGTTTTTATTGTGAATGTACACAAATTCAAATGATTGCGTCGAGATTGATTTAGTAGTAGTAGTAGTAGTAGTATACTTTATAGTCCTCAAGAGGACAATTGTTATGGACTACATGTTGCTGCAGACATACAATAAACATAAAAAAAAAAAAAAATTATAAAAAATTTTTTTTATATTTCTTCGATTTCAGAGTTGTGCAATAAAAAATTTTTTGCGTAACTTGTCAGTAAACTACGGCTATGTGTAGTAAATGCTGCTCCATCTGAAAGCACGTGATGATGATTTACTGCTGATTACAGAACCGGCTTTTTTAACAAAATGCGCATGACAATCGCATTTGATTAATCGTGCAACCCTAGTAGCTAGCTTCTATTATTTTGTTTACCTCATCAGCAGCAGCAAAAGATGATTATTTACTGCCACCAGTATGCTCCTTCCATCTCTTCAGAAGTCCTTTATTGTCAAAAATATTCAGTGTATTGTATAAAAAAAAAAATCTTTTTCCGTTTTCTGTTAAAAACACTTATAGGTGTTGGTTGCTTGAGAGTGGATTGTCGAGCTTGATAATGCAATTTAAGATTTCCTAACTAAAGATAAGAAACGATTTTGTAAGATAGGATAAGATTTCCAAATCAAGTTCAGATTTGCTTCTGTAATACGAATCCTAATTTAGCATATCACACCTTAAGTTATGACCCAAGATAAGAAACTTTCTGTAATACGCCCTGAAGCCTAAATGAGTGGAGCATGCTGGATGGTACCTGCACCTGCCTCAACCTGACCTTCCTGAACTTGACATGTGAACTGACTGCACTCAGCTGCACATGGATATGAGAGTTATAAGAAAAGAAGAATGATTTGAGGGTTAATGTACTGCTCTGCTGCAATCACATCACAAACAGCACTAACACAATCGGTTTGAGCTTTTCAATGCATTTCAGATCAGAGATACTCACCTGATCGCCTTCTGCTCGACCTCGCTTGGTCTCCGGAGTTCCCGTTTCATTTCGGATGACCTTCGGCTTTCTCTTCTTCACAGCGTCTGAGGACATGACTGAAATATGAAAGAAATCAGAATGATCATAAATGAAATCACAAGCCCATTTAAAAATGTACAGTTGTGAGTTTTGATTTGTTTTACTGTAATCTCAAATTGCATCCAAACTTTACTCTCTGGGGGAAAGTGCTTTCATATATTACGATCATATTATATTTTATGAATGTGACGGAGGAAGTTCACTCCTAAGTTACTCTCACAGACTATTTATATGCAATTATTTTTTTATGTTTAACTGTATCTGCTGGTGCTGTTATTGTATAATCGTTTTCAGTCATTTAAATAAAGATGAAATAAAATCAAATAGAAATATTGTGAGAAAAAAACGAAACTTAAAAACGGAAATAAAAATAATTTAAAGCTAAATTGAAATATTAAAAAAACATATTTAAAAAACAAAAACTCAATTTAAATGAAAACAGAAAAATAAAAGCCAATTCAAAATAAATAATAAATAATGCTAAAAATAACATTATTCTGCTTTTGAGTAAGAAGTCAAACGTGTTTTAAATATCAAATACAGACTTTACGCTTCTTAATTAATATTAATATTGCTTTTGTAAGTTATATATATATATATATTAGTAAAATGTGCTATCAGGTTAGCTTCTCGTTAAAGTAACAGCGCGTTGATTTAAACACACGATATTCATGTTGTGTTTAAACAAGACGCACTGAAATTAAATAATAAAATCTCACCTTTCAACAGCTTTTTATCAAATTGAAGTATCTGAATATGAATTTAATCATTAAAAGATCTCATTCAAACAGCAGGAGTGAGCACGGAGGACAGCAGGAGGAAGCGACGGACAGCGCTTCCGCTTTCTGCTTTACACAATAAAAGACCGACAGAAACGTTCAACCGAAAATGATCAATTCCTTATAAAATAGGTACCATATATCCAGACCACATTTCACATTTGATTTAAAACAGTCGATTTGCATTTCATTCATTTTGATTTTATTAATGCATGGCTGGTGTTTTGTTTTCTTCTTTTTTCTACTATTACCTATTTTACACAACACATAAAGCGTTTGATACTGTTTTAATGACTTTACATTGCATTCTTTAAAATATATGTCGCACAAAACACAGTGTTTATCTTGATTTAATTCAAATGTGTTAGATTTGCAATACATGCGTCTTCGCCGCGGGACTTTTATTTTGGAATTATAGCTGTCTTGAAGGCAACCCTGTGAGGAATTCAATATTTACATGACAAACTTACAATACATGAACGTAATTAAAGGCACGTAATGGGGTAAACTTTATAATATGATCCTATTATGATTGTACAATCTAGTTCATGTGTTAAGGCATGAACTAAACTGACTGTGCATACTTTATGCAACTATGAGTTTAGAAAGGGTGTCAATAACAATACTGACATACTACTTTTATTATTGTATGCAGTATGCAGCACATTTTTCAGGGTTCACAAAGAACCCAGATAGAACTTAATGCATTCTACATATGCTAAAATATGTAGTATACAGTACACACTAAATGGGATTGCATCCCATAATGCAAAGCACTCGATTTTTATGTAACATTTACAGTAATTACAATGAATTATTTATAATTAATGCTTGGTCAAACAGCTAAAAGTTAAGCCATTTTTACACGAAATTAAAAATGTGTGTCAGAAGAAAAAACAATTATCACCAAGATATTATTATTAACTAAACATGATATTAGGTCATATAATATAATGTAGCTTTATACTGCTTTTTTAAAACCCTAGGCACTATAAGATGGAATTATACCTATTGTGTCACTTTATTTTTTATCAAATTAGCTGAACATTTCCATTTTCGGATGAGCTATTCTTTTAAGTAGTTAGCTAGTATCCCATTCTGAATATAGGCATTACATATTTGGCGTGGTTTAAACCTCACAGGCCTGGTGCATTATGGGTCAGTGGAGGCCTGTGTCTAACCTGAGAGTTCAGGTATCTCGACACCCTCCTGTAGTTGTGTTCTTCCTCAGTCTGCTAATCCTCTCCATAACTTTCATCTGCATTGGACTTTACTCTCAGGATCACGACATCAGGAACCCTGACATAAGTGTAGTGAGTATGATGATCACTGCTATAATTGGATTTTGCAGTTATTTATAGACTCACTCATATATGCTTGTTTTCTAGGACTGGGACCGGGTTCTGGGGTCTGTCGCTGGTTTTAAGTTCTGCACACATCTGAATGACACAGATGCACCGCTGGAGGAAGACTCTCCCCGAATGGTGGAGCATTCAGATAGGACAAATATTTCCACGAGGAGTGCTCATGTTTCCTTTCTGGTGCCTCTGGCATTTATAGGGGACGTCCCAGATAATACTGCCATTAGTGCCACAATGTTGGGCAGCCAGCTGGGCATGAAAGGTTTGTGTGTACGAGACTTATTTATTATTATTATGGTTTCTATTAATATTTTGAATTAGCCTTGGTTTTTATATTTTCCGTTTTTTTTCTCGTATTTTTATAATATTACTATTTAGGTTTAATTTATTTTTATTTTAGGTTTTGTTTATTTTAGTGCTTGAAGTTAATTGAAAAGACAGCATTTCTAATTTAGTTTAGCTTACGTTTTCCATCTAATATTTCTATTTTATTTGATTTCTAAGTACTAAGTGATTTTAGTGCTTCAACGTAAACTTATTTCAGTTAGTTGCTAAGGCAAGTTTTGTTTTATTTAATATTTTTATTTATTTTATTTCAGCAAAAATGTTTTTAAAAGTATATGCTGTAATTTAAAAAAGTATTTTAATAAAATATATATCAGACTTTCAGAAATATGTTCTGGTCAAGCTCTCAATTTCAAGAGGGGAAATGAAAATGCATTGAACAACAGGAATGAACAACTTTTGGCTGGTGTCCTGATACTGCTTTCTACTAATGCCAACATAACCTGTCACAGGGGCTGCAGCGAAAGCATCCGTCAATATATCTCTGCTCCTGCACACTGACATTTCCAACGATCAAACTCCTGCTGGGACGCAGACCAGTCGACCCCTGACCTGTCTTCATTTCACTGCCCTGACCCATGTTCTCCCCCAAACACCGTGAGAAGCTTATACATACATAACCCCTTTTTGAGTCAAATGAACACCCTGCAAGCTGATCCACTGATATTTCAGATCACCTCCAGAATGCCCAGTCGCAGAGAACGAAGACAAGAGCGCCGCACCTGTCAGAGCTGTTGCTGTAGAAACATACAAGCACAATTCTCCACACTGCTTCAGTCTGGAGTTCACACCAGATCCACACCTGACGGTCCTGCTCACTAAGGTAGAGCAACAGTTAGCTAAATAGTTCATTAATGAACCTGTGAAGGGCAGGGGTTGTGTAAAACCATGAATGATGGAGATTCAAATTCTATTCAAAATCTTTCTGTAGAGGTCAAGTCACATTTATATAGCCATTTAGCAATGCACTCCTAAAAAGAAAGGTGTTTTGTTGGAATTAATGGTTCCATAAGGAGATTTTAACATCCATACAATCTTTTAAAAAAAAAGAAAGATTTCAAATTAGGGTTTTCACAGCGATGCTAAAGAATAATAATTTTGGGTTCCTCAAAGAACCTTTCAGTGAAAGAACCATTTTTTCAAAGTGTGAAGAACATTTTAAAATGTTAAACCTTTTGTGGAATAGAAAGGTTCCACGGAGGTTCTTCATGGAGCCATGGATGCCAGAAAATAACCTTTTTTTTTAGGAGTTTAGAACCTTTTCATTGCTCAAAAGGTTTTTAAGATTATTAAGAAAAAATGGTTAAGAACTGTTCACTGAATGGTTCTTTGGGGAACCCAAAATGGTTCTTCTATAGCATCCCTCTTTGGAATCTTTATTTTAAAGAGTGTAAAGATTGCTTCAAAGCAGCTTCACATTTAATAAACATTAACAGTGTGAAATTCATCAGTTATGCATTTAATTTAATTACAGCTGGAAAGCAGCTCTTCAGACGACAGTAGTGTCATCATTTAGCTCAGTTAAAGGGTTAGTTCACCCAAAAATGAAAATTAGCCCATAAATTACTCATGCGGAGCTGCTTCCGTGTACAACAGTGAGCGCAAGCTACAGTAAAGTGATTACTACGTCTTGAATATGGTTATTTTTCTTACAAAAATGCATAGATTCGCTACAGGAGGCCTTTGTTCACCCCCCGGAGCCGTGTGAGACATTTTCTTTAATGGATGGGCGCTTTTTATTTAACTTCTTTTGGACTGATGCATGCAACACCCACTGAGTGGCATGAAACAGCTTGAAAGATCAAAGACAATTGTTAATATAACTCCGACTGGATTCGTCTGAATGAAGAAAGTCATATACACCTAGGATGGCTTGAGGGCGAGTAATTTATGGGCTAATTTTCATTTTTGGGTGAACTAACCCTTTAAGTTCAGTAACGGTGTCACTTGTGAACTTTCATTTAAGCAACATCTAGCTAACCTCTCCACTTCTGTATTGCTTGACTAGGATGAAAAAGCCTTGTGTAGGCATCACCTGTTGCTGGTAAGTGTTGTACTGCTGGTTATCTATCCTCATGAGTCTCTGTGGAACTTTTCCTTCACGTTCACCACGTTCTTACCAGGGGAATGACCTTCAGAAGGTAGTACTATGGATTTAAACTGTAGCGCTTACCAATGTACTCTGATTTAAGAGCTTTGATTTGCTTTTTTTCTTGAGAATGCATGCAACTTTGTTGTGTGAATTAACATGTTGTGAGTTTTATTATACAGTTTGTTTTAAAAGCATTTAAACAATTGAAATAATTCATAGGAATCGCTGCTGAGCCGATGAGAAACATCTGCAGAACATCCACATTTGAGAGTGAATTGGCACCACGTGACATCAGAAAGAAATTAGCATTTGGGTATTCAAAAGTAATTTTTCATTTTCAACATGTTGGTCTTGTACAACTAAGAAATGGCAGCCGGTTATTCAGGCTGCATGCAATTTCATTCAGAATAGATCTAAATGTGACTTTATTTCATGTTTGGTTGCAATACTATGCTATGACATGTGAGTGTTAACAATCCCAATATAACCTGAGATTGACGGTTATAATATAACTATACTCCAAGAGTAAGTTAGATGATTGAAAGCTTTGTCTTGATGTCCCACGAATGAATATATTTAATATAAATTTTATTTAAATACATTCACTGTACATCATTTGTTAAATTTTCTAAAAACAAAATGTATTAAAATAGTCCATTGTGAGCAAAGTATAGGTGTCCGGACATTATTCAGCAGTGGTGTATTCAGTGTTCTGGTCTTTTAATTCACATACAAAAACTACACAGAAAACACACTTACTTTTTGACAACAATTCACAAAAAACACTTTTTTTTATCACAATGGCCAATCATCAAACCAGGAATTGGTGGATAGACCTTTAAGTTAACACTGCTAATTCAAAGAAAGACAGCATAATAATAGTGAAAAATACGGTGGCCGAGAAGTGCAAAATAAATCACAATTCTGAATACAAAATAACAAATTACAAACGCAAATGCAAGTCTAAAAAACAAAATAACAATTCAGAAAACACAACAACAATTCAGAAAATATTTTAACAAGTCAGAAAACGCAACGACAAATCCGAAAACAAATGAACAAGTCAGAAAACACAATGACAAATCAGGCAAACCGGAAGAGGTAGGTATAGTTTGAGACAGCGGCATTGGTTTGGGATTACTCACCGCTGACTGGACGAGACATCTGTCAATCAACGTATACAGTGAAGAACCAGCCGAAGAACAGCAGAGTCGTGGTAGAAAGTTCAGAGATGGTATGAAAGTAGCTCAGTTTAAATGTATTGTATGAATTGCCCTTACTCTGGAATAAAGAATACGGGGTGTCTATTTACATTTAGTTAAAAGTGGCTGTAAATCATCATCTTCAGTGGTGCAGATGGATAAGCGTGTATAGTTGGCTTTTTGACGCGATCGACCCGGGTTCGATCCCGCCTTTTGCCGAACTTTTTTTTTCTCCCTTTTCAAATCTCGTATTAGCAATGGATTCTATTTACACTAACTGCAAATACCTATTTACACTATGTTAAAATAGCAGGATTTCTACTATCAAGTATACTACTTGTTGCAAATAGTGGCAATTATCTGCAGTTCAGTATTGTAGTACATTATAAAACAGTATGCAATAATAACGTATTGAGTGTAATTTATCATTTTAATTTTAATTATTAAATGGATGCCACCTTATTGGTACAATAAAGCCCTCCCTACACCTACCCTAACCGATAATTTATTTTCAACTTTTTGATTATTTCCTTAATTTTTATTGAAAATAAATGCCTTTACGATGTGATACGAGATTTGAAAAGGGAGAGAAAAAAAGTTCGGCAAAAGGCGGGATCGAACCCGGGTGTGAAATGATTCGAGATGATTTTTCTACGGTGGCCGAGAAGTGCTAAACAAATCACAATTCTGAAACACAATTCTGAGCACAACAACAATTCAGAAAACATTATAACAAGTCAATTGTTATAATTCTGTTTTCTGACTTGTTATGATGTTTTCTGAATTGTTGTTGTGCTTTCTGAATTGTTATTTTGTTTTTTAGATTTGCATTTGCGTTTGTAATTTGTTCTTTTGTTTTCAGAATTGTGATTTGTTTAGCACTTCTCGGCCACCGTAGAAAAATCATCTCGAATCATTTCACACTGACAATTTACCTAAATGTGAAATGTATTACATTGGCCTTGTGTGATGTTTACGTTAAATTCTAAGTCAATCATCATTTTTGATTAGGCCTATTAAATGTAAAAAAATTTAAAAATCTGAAACTTAATTAGATATCATATTGATATTACGGAATAAGACCACCCACCATTCATTCAAAGACACATATTCTTCAAACCCCGCCCCCTAGAGAAACATCAGCCAATCCGAACGTTTAAAAAGCAGCCAGCGTTTTCTTATTGGCTAAAAAAAAATATTTTGGGCGGCTCAGACAGTCTGGTCACACAAACAAGTGTGATTTCTCACCAAGTTCAGTTGTATAAAAAAAACTATTTGCAACACTTCGAAATCAATGAATGGTATCTGTTTGAAGAGATGCAGCAGCTTTTATGTTCAGGCAGACATTTTGTCCCCTTCGTCCATTACATACAGTTTTCATCGTAAGCCTTCACCTTTTACCAGAAGTGTTTTGCTAAAAAGCTTACAGACTGTGTACAGCTTGAACCACAAACTATATAAATTAGTAAAATCAACTTATCTGACAAAACCTGACTTAATTCATAATACCTCGTGGTTTCATATTGGATAAAGGTGGTCGTATGATTATTACCTTTTATATGATTTTTTTAAACCCAATAGCAGCAGGTCAGCTTATCGATTAGTCGTGTTGTGCTTTATTAGCACCCCGCGTTTTTCCACGCCACATTCCTTCATGGACCAGCAAACTTACTTCCTGCTTTACCTTAAACGACGGCGTCTTCAACCAATCATACGCGCGTAATGAAGCAGAGGGCGTTGCGATTGGCTGAGCGCGGCGAGGAGGGCGGGGCAAGCTGTGCTCGGCGCTTGTGCGTGTTGTTCGAGGGAAAGAGCTGCTGCTGGAGCGATTCGAGGCCTTGCATCTGCTTTCTATGAACGAAAAAGGAATAAACACGTTCTGTTTGGTAGTTTTTTTTCATGCAACAGGCAGAAACCGTTGGATAAAATCAAACGGAGGCCGAGGAGTGGTTAAATGGTTTGCATTATTGAAATCACATTAATTGCTTGTGTTACTGTACAAAGGCTGTTGGATTTGTAAACGTAGACGGTTGGTTATGGACAGGCCGCAGTTATTTGACCAGTGCTCCTGTGCATGCTTCATTGCATGAGTCAGGAGATAAATCTGACAGTCCAGATACTAATTTGAGCGTGTAGTGAATGAATGTGTTGGCAGATCATCAGTCTCTGCTGTTGCATGGATCTTAAGGGCCTTGCAGCATGGGTTGGCCTGGCGTGTGTTTGTCTGTGAATTTAGTCAGTTCAAGGACGGGCAGTAAGAGACACCCCATTTATGAGCTCACCTGTACGGTTCATTATTTAACCCAGAAAAAGAAAATATGCATTATCATTTTAAATGGCAAAAGTTTGTACATGTGCAAAAAAAATGCATCATGCATGCCTACAATAAGAAAGGATATAAAAAAAAATAATTTACAGTGACTAAAGGTTTATTGTGTCGAGATGGAAAAAGCACACAGAATGGCAAATGCTGTAGTTATATAAAATGTATATTTTTCAATTTGAGGCTACAGTACTTTACTGTTTTTGTGATATGTAGTATGCATCCTGGGCACAGTATGCAAGAACATTTGCCAAAGTGCAGTATACAGTATAACACACTGCGGGGAACCCCACAATGTATTGCAATTGAATCCTGTAGGAATGCATTGGAAGTAATTACGTTTTTATCTCTATTTGCACTTGTTAATTTGACAGCCCCTAGTAAAGGGAACTTTTTACTCAAAATTGAATTAAAAATGTAAACTAACTCTATTAATTTCCAAAAAATGTTGCTGGACGCAACATGTGATCATAGCCATAGCATAGCAAGTGTTTGTATTGTTGCATATTTCCTACTATTGTAGGAAAGGGACATAATACGTTTCCTACTGTTGTATAAAAAATATAAATCCCAGTAAGCATTATGTTAATATTCCATTTTCCAATGAGTTGGTCAACAGGTGATATACTACAGTTTTGCAGTAGATCCATGGATAGATAGTGTGTACTGACGTGTTTGTTTCTTGTTTTCTAGGTTTTGAACGATCACACTTGATTTTCATCATATGGGAAGAATGTAGAAGCGAGTCGTGAATACAATCAGCTTTTTTTTTATAAATTAGTTTTATTTTGGAGACGATGGCCTACACAAATTACAGCTCATTAAACCGAGCTCAGCTCACCTTTGAATATCTGCACACAAACTCGTAAGTACCCATTTTAGTGTGTTTATATGCGCGTGAACGTAAGTCGTGACATTCTTGCGTTGTGCCATGGTTTTTCCATAGTGGGGATTGGTAAAACCATTCCTATAAGAGAAATGTCATGAAACAGGCTACCATGAGGACTCTGGGAAGGATTCCTTTGGTATTTTTGAGATTGTGTGCTTGATTTTAAGCATTTAGATTATGCTGCTGTGTTCTCAAGCATGTGCACTTTCTACAGAGCAGCTTGCAGCAGCAATATGGCCAGAAGTCATTCATTGTCAATGAAAAATTTTTCAGCAAAGTGATGCACAGACTATCAATGGCAGTGCAGACAATGTATATGTTTTTGTGAACTGAACACCAAAGAACAACTGGGGAGGATGATGTTTTGGTTATACATTCCTATGCATTCATATGAATTATTCTTGTATAACAACTCGACCTTGACACTTACGTCTGCGTTTATCGGCCATAAACTACAAAAGTAACACAGTGCGATGGAAAAGGTCATTTTTTTGTTGTTGTTGTTGACCAATTATTTTATTGCCAACAGGACAACCCACGAGTTTCTTTTTGGAGCTTTAGCCGAACTCGTGGACAACTCAAGGTACCAACACAGTTTTTCCGTCAGTAATTATCAAGTATTACTGACATGCTAAATCATACTGTGGAATCATTAAAATGATTTGCACCACTGAAGTGAACATTCACTCCGTTTCTCGTCCACAGAGATGCAAATGCCACACGGATAGACATCTATACAGGTTGGATACAATAGTTTTAAGTTATAGAAATACATTTCAACACTAGCAAAAATATGTACTAGAAACAAAACGAATTGACCCCAATACATGTTCATATTCATTCGTTATGGCCAATCAGAGAAGAGACCGGATCTGAGAGGCGGGTTTATGCTGTGTTTCCTTGACGATGGCACTGGAATGGACCCCAGTGAGTAAAGCAAAGAAAACCGAACCCTTCATACTACAAAATGCATGCATTTCCATTCAACAGCATCTCATACACAACACAGTGATGACCGTAGAAATGTTTTAAATAGGCGAAGCCACACATGTCATCCAGTTCGGCAAATCAAGCAAACGATTCCCAGAGTCCACTCACATTGGCCAGTATGGAAATGGATTAAAGTCGTAAGTATTATTACACTTCTCCCATAAAACCAATAAACTGCCCGTGTCTTGATATTCAGGGGATTCTTTTTATACATAAACATCCTGGTCTCTTTTAGGGGTTCCATGCGTATTGGGAAGGACTTCATCCTTTTGACCAAAAAAGATGACAAATTAACGTGTTTGTTTTTGTCGCGAACATTTCATGAGGAAGAGGGTCTGGACGAGGTAAGACGTTGATTTCTGGCAATCACTCATTCTGAACGAAGAGCAGACCTCTGAGAGTTATTGGCCTGTTCTCGTAGGTGATTGTCCCGTTACCCAGTTGGGATGCGAAGACCCAACAGCCTCTGACTCAAGACACGGAGAAGTACGCTACTGAGACTGAACTCATCTTTAAGTATTCACCTTTTAAGAATGAAGAGCAGCTATTCCGCCAGTTCAAGAAGATCGAAGGACCCAGTGGTTTGTTTTTACAGCACTTTATCAAAAATATAATCTGTGGCTAATCTTATGAGTGAATGAATGCCTTTTATAGTCATTATACACACGTACAATGAAATTAGAATAGCTTCCCTGCAACATAATTTACATATATCATAGTGCACATACAACAAAACAATAAAGAGTTGAATTGCACTAAGACTTACATTCAACATAAGAAAATAAAGAGTTATATTGCACAATAAGAGTGTCTTGCATTCAGAGGCCGTTAAATCTTGAGTACTGTGTGTTTGTAGGTACGCTGGTTGTAGTTTATAACTTGAAGTTGATGGATAACCGAGAACCGGAGTTGGATGTGGAGACAGATCACCAGGACATTCTGATGGCTGGGATGCCGGTAGAGGGAGTGTGAGTTAACTCGCAAATTATCAGTTCTTCACCTTTCTGTTGATCTTAGCACCAACCGTAAGTAAGCACAATTAGGTGGTTTTCACACTGGGCTCACTTGCTGTGGTTCGAACCCGAGTGTGAATGCCCCCCCCCTCGCCCCCGCAGCATTGGTCTGGTTTCACACTCTCTTGATTCTATTGAACCCCGGTGCATTTGCTATCATCTTACGTCATCGCAAACGTGCACAATGTATGATAGAAAACAACGTGGGTCAATATATTGTGTTTTTTGATTCATTTGGTGCAATTATGCGCAGCAGAGTAAACAACATATGGGTTTACTGTATGTTCATCGCATGTAGATGACTATTTTGAGGAGACTGTGGATTACCACAAATTGCCGCTCTGATTGCAGATGCTACACACGAATACACTGCAGGCTCAATCTCGCTCAAATCCAAAGTAAATCAGCAACACTATCATCACTTATATGAGTTTTATTGAAGAAAATACATTGTAATCGGCTAAAATGCATGCGCAGGTTACTTTACTTCCTGAACAAGTGCGCACCTGAGTCCGAGTTGCTTTCATATTCACGTGAACCGCGCCACGGTTCGAGTGCAATAGTCTCGGGTTCAGTACCCGGGTGCGCACCAAACGTGATAGTGTGAAAGTGCCCTTAAAGCAATAATTCACACCAAATGAAAATCTGCTGAAAATGTACACACTCTCAGGCCATCCAAGATGTAGATGAGTTTGTTTCTTCATCAGATTTGGAGAAATGTAGCATTGCATCACTTGCTCAGCAATGGATCCTATGCAGTGAATGGGTGCCGTCAGAATGAGAGTCCAATGTAAGAAACTGTAGTCTGCCCCGACCCAGATTCCACTCCACAATAGATGTTTGAGTATACTCCATTCCCAAAATGCCTAATTATTATGGCGAAGAAGAAAGTCAACAGTTATGTTGTTTCTACATAATTTGGGATGATCACATCCTGAGCAAATGGTGACCAACTGGGAATGGGTGTGGGACACCGAGAATTTTATTAACATACAGGTCACAGCGGTTACAACAGGAGCAACTTCATTTACATCAAGGGTAGTAAACTGTAAGTGTATAAAAGGTTTGAGCTTAGGATGTTTCAGGGTTCATTTTGACTCCGTTGAACCCAAAGTAATACATGTACTTTGTCACTGCTATGCTGTAATAAACATCTTCAACGTTCTCATAATTTTTTCTTACACCAAAATTGCTTATCACAATAAACATCATAATATTCCACAAGTAATCCACACCACTCCAGTCCATCAGTTAACATCTTGAGAAGGGAAGGGCTGCGTGTTTGTAAGCTGTTTGGACTCTGACGGCACCCATTCACTGCAGAGGATCCACTGGTGTACAAGCGATGTAATGCTGCATTTCTCTAAATCTGTTCAGATGAAAAAACGTGCTTCTACATCACTACATGTTTAGCCCCGCCCACCGATTCACGAATGTAGTGAAGACAACAAGACGCTGTTCAGTGCCAAGCTATTGCCTTCCTTCTGATCCCAACATTAGGAAAGAGTGGATGAACTTTATTTTTAATGAAGTTCCAGATTGCATCAGTAAGAATTCGGGCCTCCAAGAGCAGAATTGTCATAAACCAACTGATGTTTCTCTTGAGCTGGCATAAGGCATGGGTTTTAAACATGTTAATGTAGTGTTGGATGTTTTTCGGTGATGCTGACACATACTTTTGTGTTGATAACAGGAAGCCAGAGAGGAGGTCGTTCCGTGCGTATGCTGCTGTCCTGTACATCGACCCCAGGATGAGGATCTTCATTCAGGGTCACAAAGTCAGAACCAAGAGATTGTCCTGTTGCTTATATAACCCTAGGTAAACATGAAAAAATAGCAGTTTCACAGTATATATATATATATCAAGGGGTTTTCACACCAAAATGACTTCTTTAAAAAAAAAAATAAAAAAAAGTTTACATGTTTTAAGTAGTTCTTGTAAACTTATGCATTATTTTCAACTTCTAGGATGTACAAATACACATCAACACGCTTTAAAACTCGTGCGGAGCAGGAGGTCAAGAAGGCAGATCACCTCTCGAAACTTGGTGAGTTTCACCTCAGTCCACATAAACATCTCAAAGTGGACTTGAATCGGACATTTAAGGGAAGTTGCTTATCTCTATCTGACCATATCTGCTTTTAACCTCTTCAGATACTGAACCACAAGTTTTGACAGAGGATGTAACTGCTCAGTTTCACACACACAGTGGGCATGTTTATAAATGCCTCTTTTAGCTCTTCCCTTGATAAAGACTGTAACAAAAGAAGAAATGTAAATGGTTTTAGACTGAATGCTTAGTGAGAGAATTAGATTTTGTGCTGTAAAATCAAATCACTTATGTCCCTTTTTTCTTTGTCTTTTCTTGTGCATATGTTTGACTTCCTCTCTAGCTGAGGAGAAGGCACGAGAGGCCGAGAGTAAAGCTCGTGCCTTGGAGTTAAAGCTTGGTGATGACTTATCCAAAGAAGCCCGAGTAAGACCTCACAGCCACCCCAACACACACTTCAGACCATAGATCATAGATCAAGGGTCTCAACTTTTCTGTGGAACACAAAAGCAAATGATTACAAGAACGTCCAATGAATAAGGACTGACCTGGGCTATCAACTTCAGTTCCCAAAAGCATAGTTCAAGGATTTGGTGTTTCCCGAATCCATAAACTACAGCTAGAAGCACAGTTTATGTTAGTAAGGACTAAAATAGGTCATGCACTTAAGCAAAATAAGCAAACATGTAATATAATCTATATCTTTCATTACATTCATATACATTTTTAATTCAATACCTTTTCGTTTAAGGGATTTCAAGTGCCATTTTTGAAGAGTGTGCATGTGTGTACATGCTCTGGGGATCCTCTGGAATATAAGGAATATGAAATATAAGGAAACCTGTGAAATAGGGCTGTCAAAATGGCTGAAAAACTAAATTTGAATTTTGTACTTAAATATGATCAAAATTCGAATTATATTCGAATTTAAAATGCATAATTTCAGTTAGGGTGAAGAAAAGCTTTTGGCTTCTCTTCTGAGGCCACAAGAGGGCGCATCGAGCAAAATATTACTAATGCATGTCTCTTCAAAGCATAAGATAACATGACTATCTGCGAAAAAAGTGCACAATGTTTAAAATAATGTTTATAAACCAATTATAATTAAGTTGCTTAAACAACTATAAACAAAACAGCATCATGTATGTATGCATAGTTTAATACAAAGGGCCGAAAGCCAATCACACACAGTACATTTTTCATTTAAAAACACGAGTTGCAGTGGAATGGGGAAAAACCGCCCCCATAAAGTCTCGAGATATGTTTTTTCAAAGTTGAACTTGCATTAATTTTACATGGCTTTCTAAACATTCAGCTCTTTTGTGCGAGGTGCGAGACGCGAGTGCAACGGTGATAGATGTCCCTCTAGAAAATTCCCGTTCAAATGCACTGTTCGTTATGTACAGCGGTAATCTCACATTAATTAGATCTCGAACTGAATTAGCGGAAGCTATCACTCCAGCACCTGCTTAATGTCATTACCAACAGCTCTAACCAATGCGCTTTGAATGTCGCACATGCGGCAAAGTTCCTACATTTTCAGGAAACATTTGTGAAACATTCAGGAAACGCATCCCAGAACATTCTAACATCAGCATAGCAACATACTTGCAACAAAAACATTCCGATTACCTTGGAAACAGCATAGCCTTGGCAACCACCCACATCACCTTTGCATTACGATGTTGAGTTTTGAACAGAACTACTCACATTTTCTTCTTGAGTTTTATTTATCAATTAATTTATTAAATGTCAATTTAGATGTGCTTGTTGGATGTGCAGGTTTTCATAAATGTGTTTTATTTTCTGTCGCTGATTTCAGGCCGCGCTGAGGAAGGCACAAGATTCGGCTGTGGCGTTACGTGCCGAAGCTACAAGAAAACAAGCCATCCATGCATCCAAACAAAAGTAATCCGCACCCACAAACACACTATGACTTCTTAAAAAAATGCCTTTTAAAATTTGACTTTAGTCTACTGCAGGGGTGGCGAACTCCGGTCCTGGAGAGCCGCAGCCCTGCAGAGTTCAGCTCCAACCCTAATTAAAACTCACCTGCCTGTAGCTTCCTAGTAACCGTTCAGACCTTGATTAGCTTGTTCAGGTGTGTTTGATTAGGGTTGAAGCAAAACTCTGCAGGGCTGCGGCTCTCCAGGACCGACGTTCGCCACCCCTGGTCTACTGCATAAACACCTTTATATTAGGGATGCACCGATATGAAAATTTTGGCCGATACCGATAACCGATTATTCTTTATTTTTGAAAGCCGATAACCGATATGTTGGCAGATAAATCTATATCCAAATTGTTATATACTTTTTGAGAGCCTGATTACAAAAAAGGTCTCATCATTAAAAGCCACATCCCAAACACTTCAACATAAGCAGCCTAGTTTGAACGGTGTACGTTTTAAAAATATTTTTACTCTCCCATTACCAAATTTAGTCATAAAAAAGTCTTACAAATAAATAAAATAATGCATAAATAATGCAAACAAGTCACTGGACATCATTACACGTGTAAAGAATCAAAATGAATGCGCCACAGATCAATAAAACGGAATAGCCTCTGCACGGACAATAATTAAATGATTTTAATTACTAAACCATACTGTTGATGAAAATAATAAGAGAAAAATACAAGTGGTTGTTGTTATTAATAATATATCAATGATTTTGAAAAAGTAACAAATTAATACCACTGTTTTAAATAGCAGCCGTTGAGCTGCACGTGCTGAAGCTAAACAGCTGAATGAACACGGTAAACTGAAGCGTTTTGCTGGCAGCTTATTTAACTCAAGGAAATGCATCCTGAGATTAATATTAATACAACATAAACATAATATTACAACTTATATATGAAATGACAAATGACGCAGTTATTGCATGCTATAGTCAGAATGTGTGATCCTGTTGTGGATGCGCTCTTCCCATAACAACGCGCTGAAACACAACAACTAAACCCATAGAATTCACAACGTTTTATTATAATAATGTTCTCATTAGAATGTTATATACACGACATTCCCAATCATAGTTATTAATGTTGTGCACTGCTGTTTGAGCTGCGTGCGCTGAGCTAAAGACGATCACCGGTAAACTGAAGCGCTCTTTTAACTTAACCAAACGCATTCTATATGAGATAAATCAGATATACATCAAATAAACACAATATTACAACGTACAATTGCACAAAAGGCTGCAAACGAACAGCGCGCATCTGAAGTGTCTCTGAAGGAAATAATGCATTATTTATCGGCTTTAAGATATCGGCCAAATTTTCTTATCAGGCCGATACCGATAACAGAAAAAAATGAGCTCTTCACAAGATGTACAAATATAATTTCTTAATGTTTTCAATCTTCCTTCCTGTAGATAAGTGTTTGAAGTGGCGGACGCTGCCGTTTCAGATGGATGCCGTGGACAAACGCTACCCAGACAGCTGGGTGTGTCTCATGAACCCAGACGGAACCCAGGACAGGTTGGGAAATTAGATGCCAGAAGCAGTCTAGCAGTTCAAGACTTTAAAAAAAAAATTTTTTTTAACTTATTCCTTTGTTTGTTATTGATCTGTTCTGGTAGGTGTGATGCGGCTGAGCAGAAGCAGAATTTGCCCATTGGCGTTTTGAAAAAGGACATCAAGTCATCAGACGACAAACAGAAAGATCTGTCTGAGAAAATCCGTCAGCAGCAAGAAAAACTGGAGTCCATGCAGGTGTCCATCATCTCAGTTCTCTTCCGAGCCTTTCTGTGTTCATTTTGTGTAAATTAATGTTTCGTTTTTCCTCATTCAGAAAAGCACAACAATAAAATCAGCAGCAGATATAAAACGGCTCCCTCTAGATGTCAGTACAAAACCTGCAGAAGAGCGCACGCCTCAGGTACAGTGTCTGCATCTGGATAAATCTCACAAAAATTAACTAGGTTATATTTTTTCCTCAAAATCAAGAGGAAAAATCTGAATTATTTGTATCGCATTTAAAGGGATAGTTGAATGACAATTCTGTAGTTTACTCACCCTCATGTCGTTCCAAACTTATAAGACTTTGTTTAATTTTTAAACAAATTAAGCACATTTTCTGGCCAAATTCTCAGTGCCATAATGCATCTGGACTTGTAAACTTTTCATAATACTGATTTCTTTTTAAACCATGACGTATAAATACTTAATTTATATAATATATATTTTGTTCACATTACAGTATGATAATTAGAGGGGACAATATGCTTCTTTAATGAAGATAATGGTTCTAAAAGTAGGCTTATTTTTCTTAATGCAAACTATATTTTCTCAGAATTTGGTTATCAATTTCTTTTTTTTCTTTTTTTTTTTGAAGAAGGTAAATGTGACCTAGACATGTTTTTGACAGGTTTCATGCTATGCATTGTTTTATTTTATTATATTAAAATAAATTAACCTAATTATCTTCCCTAATAGCCGACCCGCTCATCTCAGCGAGCAGCGCTCCGCCCACGATCCCCACCTCTCCCCGCAGTGGTCAGAAAAGCTGTCAGTCAGCCACAGATAGCAAAAACTCCTCCCCCTAAAGCAACGCCTCCTTCACGACCAACCCGGACCCCACCAGCTCCTCCCCCTCCATCCAAAGCGAAATCATCACCAGCTCCTGCAACGAAGGCAACAAAATCCGCTGCCAAACCTGTAGCCCTGCCCCCACCGCCGCCCACAAAGACACCAGCTCGCAGAAGCGCCACGCAGAGCCGCGCTACTCCAGTAAGTAGTCTTATATACTCAAATATATGTGAGCCTGCAGCACAAAAGCAGTGTTAAGTCGCTGGGGGATATTTGTAGCAATAGCCAAAAATACATTGTATGGGTCAAAATTATAGATTTTTCTTTTATGCCAAAAATCATTAGGATATTAAGTAAAGATCATGTTCCATAAATATATTTTGTAAATTTCCTACTGTAAATATATTAAAACTAAATTTTGTATTAGTAATATGCATTGCTAAGAACTTCATTTGGACAACTTTAAAGATGATTTTCTCAATATTTAGATTCCAGATTTTCAAATAGTTGTATCTCGGCCAAATATTGTCCTATCATAACAAACCATACATCAATGGAAAGCTTATTTATTTTTGAAAAATTGACACTTATGACTAGTTTTGTGGTCCAGGGTCACATATGGTGCTTTCACGCTGATCGTGTTTGTGCACACAAAATATCACAACAAACTGATATGTGGTTTTTCTGTTAGCCGCCATCCGCCAAGACTTCTAGCAAACAAACTCCAACCAACAAGAAAGGAAACATAAAGAAAGGTAGAGTCCAGGAAGAGGAGGATGCAGAGGAAGTAGAAAGTGAAGAGGAGGAAGAGGAAGAAGAAGAAGAGGAGGAGGAGGAGGAGGAGGAAGAAGACAGTGCATCAGACGAGGATGAACCTCAACCCAAAAAATCAAAGATGGTGGCGTCTGTTCAGACTCAAGGGAAAGCTGCAGTGGGAAAAAAAACGCCAGCAGCAGCTGTTAAACAGGCCAACGCCGAGGTAACATTCACACCTCGTTACCAGAGTGAAACTGCGATTAATACACACTTAAAGGAAGTTCAGCCAAAAATGACCTGAAATTGTATTATATGAGTTTGTTTCTTCATGAGAACAGATTTGGAGAAATGTAGCATTACATCACATGCTCACTAGTGGATGCTCTGCAGTGAATGGGTGCCGTCAGAATGAGAGCCAAACAGCTGATAAAAACATCACAATAATCCACAAGTAATCCACACCACTCCAGTCCATCAGTTAACATCTTGTGAAGAGAAAAGCTGCGTGTTTGTAAGAAACAAATCCATCATTTAGATGTTTGATTGACGCCTTAATGATGGATTTGTTTCTTACAAACACACAGCTTTTGGCTTCACAAGATGTTAACTGTTGGACTGGAGCGGTGTGGATTACTTGTGGATTATTGTGATGTTTTTATCAGCTGTTTGGCTCTCATTCTGACGGCACCCATTCACTGCAGAGCATCCACTGGTGAGCAAGTGATAATGCAATGCTACATTTCTCCAAATCTGTTCCCATTAACAATAAAACTCATCATATCTTGTATGGTCTGAGGGTGAGTGCATATTCAGCAAATTTTCATTTTTGGGTGAATTATTCCTCTTAAGCAGTTTTAATTGATTTTAATTTCTCTTGTCAGGTTATCACAAATAGCACTAATGAAGATCTGAAGAAAGATGCAACAAAAAATGCACAGAAAGGTAAAATATGTATATTGTTTCACATTATAAAGGGATGTGTCCCATCGTGGCGTATAATTTATAGATCTAACAAACTGTGTTGTAGATAAAGGAATTCAGGTGGAGGCGAAGGTGAACGGCGAGTGGTTCACTGGACGCGTAACCGCAGTAGAGACAGGAAAGGAGAGCGTACGCTGGAAGGTCAAGTTCGACTATGTTCCCATGAACACCCCAAGAGACCGCTGGTACATGCACAAACACACACATATAAACAGATCTGTCGCTACTGCTGTTTCATTGCGACTTTAAAATGTTTTGTAATTTGTTTGTTTTCAGGGTGTTTAAGGGCAGCGATGACGTCCGTCTTATGCGTCCCGCCTCTCCAGAGTCCCGAAGTCCAGACACCAATCAGGGTCCAGCACGGTCTGTAACTCCGCCCACCGCTGCGGAGCCTGACACGACTCAGAGCGGGCCGAGCAGAGAGACCACAGAAGGCCTTGTGACCATGATGAGGTGTGTTTGTGGTCTCTTCTGCTGATAATAATATGTGCATTTTGTGTGTATTTGAACCTTCCATGTTTGTTTGGCACAGGACGTTGATACGGTATTTCTTCCCTCCGGATTTCCGAATCCCTAAAGATTCTGTGAACACTATGAGTGCTGAGGACCTTGTGGCCTTTCCCATCGTGAGTACAGACCATCGTTGCTGCTACACAGAATCCTTCAGAGATATTTATATCAAACCTAAATAGTTTGGGTGCTTGCACGTATTAATTGAGTGTCTCATGAATTGCAGAAAGAGTATTTCCAGCAGTATGAGGCCGGCCTGCAGAGTTTGTGTAACTCTTACCAAACTCGGGCGGAGTCACGGGCACGAGCCGTGGAGGAGAAGAGCAGCGGGGCAGAAGCCAAACTCCGGGAATCTGAGGAGAAACTCCGCAAACTCAGAACCAACATCGTCGCTCTTCTGCAGAAAGTCCAGGAGGTCTGAAACACACACACACACACACTCACTTTACTGCATTTACACGCATAACAACACTCCTGTATAAATCAGTTTTGCTATTTGTTTTGATTTTGTGTCAAGGAGAATTAATGAGTTTAAATTAGTGCTGTCAAATGATTAATCCCAGTTAATCGCATCCAAGATTTTGTTTACATATGTACTGTGTATATTTATGATGTACATATAAATACACACACATGCATGTTTATATTTATGAAAAATATTAATATTTATATATAATATAAATTGTATTTGAATGTAAATATTTGTAAACTATATACATGTATGTTTGTGTATTTATATATACATAATAAATATACACAGTACACACATATATTTTGTGAACAAAAACTTTTGTTTTGGATGCGGTTAATCACGCATTTTGAAAGAATTTTTATTGTTTGACAGCACTAGTTTAAATGACTGTTTAGAATTATCAACGGAACAAGAATGTTTTTCTTTTTCTTTTTTTGGCAATTTCACATGGATTTGTTCATGTTTATTTTGTTCCACAGGACATTGAGATCAGCAATGACGATGAGCTGGATGCCTACATTGAGGATTTGGTCACAAAGGGAGAGTGAAATACTGCATCTCCTCTGTTTTACCTTCATTTTCACTCTCTACATGTGTTTCGTGCATTCTAAGCGTTCTGACGGTCGACTGGCGATTGCTGGTCGGATGCCACATCTCCATCCCTGTACTGTAACAATGCAGCAAGAGCTTCATTGCCAACTTCAACGCAATTTTTGGTTCAAAACACCACTCAGGCCATCAACTCAGCCTTGGAGCAGATTGAACTTGTGGGCCGCAGGTGATGAGAGATTCAAAGGGGTTCATAGAACCTGCAGTTTGAAATCTTTGTTTGGTTTTACTCTACATGAAGGTTTTGAGTTCGTGTTGGCTGTGTTTTAAGGTCTCAGTGTTGTAAAACTTCATTGTCAACCCGATTTCATGGACGAGTCCGCAGCTGTTCTCACAGCTCGCATTGATTCCTTTCCAATCAGTTTGACATTATGAGTTTGAAAATGGGCTTTAACTAGCTGCTATGTTATCCGAATTCTCAAGTTTTGAGTTACTTCCCATTTAATTTTCCATGTACGTGGTTGTGATATTCAGTTTGTTTTTTTTAATAAACACTGATCTGATGCTGTTAACCTCTTCAGTTACAGTATTTAGTCTTCATCTTTATATCTGAAAATATTTTTAAAAAAGTTTTATTAAAACAGTCCAATAAAGTTTAGGATGTACATGTGGTCTTATGATTCTGTTTGTCTGTGGGGGGGGGGGGGGGCTTCCAATTATGGTCTTCACTTGTACATTCATTTTTTTTTTTTTTATTCAATTGATGAATGCATTCAACAATTCACTGAACTGAAAAAAATAGCCTATATTAAATATACAGACTTTAAGTTGTAAATGTAATTTGCATAGCCGCTAGTACAGTGTAAATATATTTAATTGGAATGTTGAAATTGAATGTAATGACATCTATTTGATATATACCATATCTTTATAAAAGGTATGGAGAAAAGATGTCCTTTTACATTTGTAAACATTCACAGAGGTCAATTATTAACCGAAATTCATCGTTCTTAATTTGAAAAATTTATTTATAAATGATAGATCCCATGAGTTTTTTTTTTTTTTTTTTTGATTGATTCAGTCGGTGTGGAAGAACTTGACTGGTCTGCACAAAGCAAAGTGCTAATCCCAGCTGAACACATCTGGTGTGACTTTAAATGTAGACCTTGAGCCAAAAACTCCTCACCAAACACCTGTGACTTGTACATATGTGTACAGTCATTTTAGACACTTCCAAAACTGGAAATACCATTTTTAAATATATTAATTATGTTGCCACAGTTTTGGAAGTGCCTTTTTCTCTTCTAAAGAAGGGGGTGTCCCAATACTTTTGTCCATATGTATGTGCAAGTCACAGGTGTTTGGTGATGTGTCCCAATACTTTGGGCAATATAGTGTATGTTTGGTGCGGTAGGGGGCCCAACCTCATATTCTTTCATAGGGCCCAAAATTGCTAGCGGCGCCCCTGGATATGAGTAACAATAAAACATTACGGAAGAGGTTACCCACAGCTTAATTAGAAGGGAAAATATTAGAAAGGATCCTTGTGACATTTTGGGCGAATTACTTATTAAATGAATCATCAAAAATTGTGGTTGATGAAATTTTATTAACAATAAAATTAACAATTAATTGTTAAAATACATTGTTTTCCTTTCATATTCCTTTTATATGTGAAGTTACCCTTTATTTTGTAGCTAATTTGCTGGGAGTGGTGGGTTTGGTTAAAAGCAACCCGAAATTGAATGTATTATTTAGCAAAAATCCTGACCTTTGTTGTTGGTTTCTGCACACAGCTGTGCGTTCATGAGACTGTTAGCTCAGCAGTTCTCACGCCGGCTCACCCAGAAAAAGCATGCTTTGTGAGAAATCAAGAATAATGAAAACGAGACACTTCGTGATGGACGTGTGCCATCAGGGCAACGGCCAAGGTCAAGATTTTTGTTAAAACATTACATTTCGGTTTTCGGTTCATATAGAGATTGTACGTGTGTATGACCAACCATATAAAATAGGGTGAGCATGATTTGACCAAGTACAGCATGTTCCTGGATCTACATCCTTGTCAGAATTGAGCGATAACTTTTCAGGAAATATCAGTTTTAGGCTTACAATCAGGGTTAGGTGCTTCTACACCCTGGTTAATCAGCTATCATTTCCCTCTGATTTTAGGAATGAATTATGGGTGAGGTTAGGTTTAGGGGTAGGGATTGGGTTAAGTCTGTATTTTTGGACAGTAATGTTGATCCAGGATCAATAAAAGATGTTGATGTCTTACTTGAGCAAAATCACGGGCGACCATAAAATAGGTCATTAAAAAATTGACCTGCAGACTTCAATCAGACATTCTTCAAAAATCCTGATAAGAATCTTGTCATATAACTGAAGAGAACATGTATTGTGAAAAGACGTGAAATTTGGCATTTTATGTTGTTAGCTGCTCTGTTGTAATGGCTTGGATCATTTCAGCATTTCAGCAGATAGTTGGAGAGTCCTGGATGCTCATGTTTCTGATGCTCTCTGCGATGCTGAGGATTCTCTCTCCTCCCTTTCTGGGTTTCATATGATCATAGTCAACCCTGTTTTAAAAGACAGACACAAAGGCATTAGGTACGGTATGCAAAACTCAGGTTATTAAATTATTAATAATAAAAGAAATGTTTAACAGATTGGTTAATGTGGTAAAATGTGTGATGCTAGGATTGTCATACAGTGGAGTTAAAAATTCTGAGACTAATTGTAAAAAATGGGGGCATTTTTATGAGCAGATTTTTACCCTCTTTGAATGCACATTAGGCTACACTCTAAAAAATGCTGGGTTAAATACAACCCAGTGCTGGGTAAAATAGGGACAAACCCAGCAATTGGGCTGTTTTGACCCAGCGGTTTGGTTAAATGTTTAACCTTTTGGGTAGTAACCCAACCGCTGGGTCAAAACAGCCGAAATGCTGGGTTTGTCCCTATTTTACCCAGCACTGGGTTGTATTTAACCCAGCATTTTTTTAGAGTGTAACTTCTTATCTGTCTAATTATTACATATAATGTTTGTTAACTTTGAAGGAAATGTATCAACCATTTTAGACTGTAATTTAGTACTACACTGACAAAAGTTTTACATTACAATATTATTAACAGGTGTCTGTATGCATTTGAACATTTTATTATATTCAATGACACAGTTACGCAGAACACCTAAAGGGACGTGGTGAGGGTAAAAACTAAATTAGATGGGAGGAAAATGTATATTGCAATGCTTTTGTGTTCGTTTGGGAAAAATTGGCGTTCGCTCGCCAAACTTTTGTTGTGGGGAAAAAAACTATAATCAAGTGCTCATGAGGGCGCAACGTTTCTTAGAGAAAAACAATAGGCTACTTCTTCCCCTCCAGTCTCATATTTCCCATTACCATGTCCCCTGCGTACAACTAGACCCAGAAATAAACCTTGTCTTTCTTCTCTTGAATACTTTGCTCCACACGGAGCTCCAGACCGCCGCGCGTAACGCCGGACTGCCCCAGATGTACAGCGCGGGCGTGCTGAGCGCGTTAAACCGTGCCATGATCGCGAAAAGATTCGTGGCTTCATTTTTGAACTTCAGTCCGTTCTTAGTGACATATTTCACCGAGATGTTCACAAAAGACGGAGCCCACAAGATGAGAAAACAAATGACCACAAAAACGATAATGCGTAACGATTCTTTCTTGCTGTCCTTGTCGCTGCCGGGTGCTTCTCGGCCGAGCTGATACCTCGTGATCATGTACAGTTTGATGGTCATTAAAACTTTGACGGCCACGATCACCTGCAGGACTATGACCCCAAAAGCGTTCATTTGAGCGGCGAATGCAACTGGCACGACGCTTTGAACAGTTAGAATTGAATATGTGTAAATCCAACAGAGCGCGCAGACGCCAATCACAACCCTGCGCGTGATGCACCGCTTGTAGAAGAAGGGGTGACACACTGCCAGGTATCTATCAAACTGTGCAAACACAAATGTCAACACGTTCACTCCTAGAAATGATGGTAAAATGTAATAAGTGCCGTTCCGGGACGGATAGCCCTCCTGGACGTCAAACAGGCCGAGGTAGAAGACAGAGCAGCCGGTTAAAGTGTCACTGATGCTGGTGTTTAACATGAAGATGAAGCGGTTTTGGCAGCGCAGGGCTCTGGTGCTCATGATACCGATGACTACTGACCCTGCCAGCTGAGACGAACCTGTGGCAAACAGGATATGAAAAAGAAATATCAAATAATCTTCAGGACGCGAAAAGTCAACCGAGAGTGGAACGGTTAGGTTAAAGGTGAGCATTGTAATGTGCCTTCAGTAGAGAGAGGACACTGGTGCTGGTTAAAGGGTGTTTAAGTAGATACGGCTCAGTCCCATAAGAATGCAATTTGACATTGATGAATTGCTCAGATAATGTCAAATGGGAATAGTTTGCACAGGAGATTTTTATTTGCATGCGTGCTGTTTTTGATGCATCTGTAGGCCTACATCTTTTTTTGCAACGCGAAAAACTGCCAGAGTCATCACAGAGATGTCTATTTGACGTCTGCATTTACATCTGCAAGACATATTTTTTAGAGTTTGCTCACCTGCGATACGTCTACATAGGACGTTTCCAATCAGATGTCAAATAGACATTTAGAAGATGTCTTTAAGATGTTTATGATGTAAAACTGACATCTTGAAGATGCCTATCAGATGTTTGTATACACAGCAGATGCTTTCCAGATGAAGCGATATTTAACAGACGTCTTGCAGACGTACATGTGCTATCTGGGGCTATATGTAAATAAATGGAAGAGAGTGCAGTAAATAAAACAATTTGCGCTACAAATCATTGTGTATAATTATGACAAATCATTAAAATAATATAACAAGAAATGTCAGTGTGCAACTTAACAAGCCATTTTTACAGCTAAAAGTAACTGGAAGCGATTACACCGGAAGTCTGTTCGATGTCTGCATTTACATCTGCAAGACATATTATTTGTGTTTGCTCATCTGCAATACGTCTATAGGACGTTTCCTATCAGATGTCAAATAGATGTTTAGAAGATGTCTTTAAGATGTTTATGATGTAAAACGGACATCTTAAAGACGTCTACACTCTTAAAAATAAAGGTGCTTCAAAAGGTTCTTCAAGCGATGCCATAGAAGAACCATTTTTGGTTCCACAAAGAACCATTCAGTCAAAGGTTCTTTAAAGAACCATCTCTTTCTTACCTCTTTATAATCTGAAGAACCTTCTTTCGCCACAAAGAACCTTTTGTGAAACAGAAAGGTTCTTCAGGTGTTAAAGGTTCTTTATGGAACCATTTAGATGAAAAGGTTCTTCTATGGCATCGTGAAGCACCTCTATTTTTAAGAGTGTAGCAGATGTTTGTACACAGCAGATGCTTTCCAGATGAAGCGATCTTTAACAGACGTCTTGCAGACGTACGTGTGCCATCTGGGAATCTTGGTTATGTATGTGCGCCCATTATGCAAAGATAATGGAAAAAAGGCCTGAAAACAGTTTCCAGGAACTGTTATAGAATATAATTCTCACCTCAGCCATCATTTTTATCAACGTGTCCGTGTTTGTCTCCATCGTGATGAAC